CAAATGTTTATTTTAAATTCGACTAATATTCATTCTTTACTCACAATCTCCTCATCACAGGCAGGCACAGCACTCATGTTTGTGTTTGTGTGTGCTGTCTGCGTCACTCATAGCACGCGACTATATCGTGCGATATATATGAACATTTTTTATATCGTTATCGAAGAAGGTGTAACGTCGATAAATATCGATACCGTTTTATCGTCCAGGCCTATCTAACACTCTAAGAAAAGTCCATGAAAATAGGTCCCAATTAACCCGTTAACGTAAAGAATTTTCCATATTGGTTGTTCACTGGCGTTCTACACGTATTGTGAATTATGCATTGTGTTTGCGAGCTGGTTCTTTTCACAAACGATGGGCCAATTCATTGGTCTAAAACGGCTCACTTACTCACTGAATCACTCAAGGCACTTATTAAATGAACATCTGACTCACTCACCATTGGCTCAAAGTGATCTGAAATGTGTCAGTGTGTACTCGGTGAGACTTAAAACAGTTTATTGACCGATGTATAGTTAGGACTGTAGGCCATTATACTGAACATGTGGAGGTGAGCAGAGGCTGAATCTGACTGTGTTTGGGAAATAAAGGTGTGTGTGTTAGTGTGTAACCAGAATAACAAGTTTAACTGTTGACCATCCAACACACGCTTATCTAACGTCATCTAATCTAAACAAGGGAGCATCATAGACTTCTGATGTTTTTACATCAAACTAAAAGACTACAGACAATTCCTAACCTAGTTTAATGCAGCCAGACTTTTGGCTATTGGTCTAAAGTCTGGTCCACACCGCATCTAAGAACCGCCCACAATGACAGAAGGCTTAGCCTTCCCCTGGCTTGAGGACTTGGGGCAAAAATGCCACTAAATTGGACAAAAATGCCCCTGCACAAACAAATTAAATCTATTACGTCTGTTGCTAACAAAGTGAATATGAATAGACAGTGTCGATTGCGGCATTAAATTAAGATCTGCTCATGTTGCACCGTATTTAATTTTAGGCGTTTTTACATGGTTGCGCATTTTAACCAATCACACACAATTCTGTTGAGCTTAGGAATGCAATGGCCAATCCAACAAAGTCAGATGAGTCAGATCAGTTTTGTTGAGTGCGCACGTGTTCGTGACTGAATTCCGGACTCTTGCGAATTCTCTCATCATAAACAACAAAGCGCAGATGTACGTACAATGTAAGTAAGAGATTCATTTCACAGTGTATACAGCTTCAGTGAATATAATGTTTTTAGTTTTTTTTTGAGAGTGCTTAAACTCGCGATAGATCAATGTTAGTGATAATGTCACTTTCTATATATAATTTATTTGCTGTTTGAATAACCGTGGAAATGAAACGTTATATAATTATACATTTCTTGATGTTTAATACATTTGGCTGCTTTTAGCCTTACCCTGGAGTTGGTTCACCCTCCGCCTATGACTAAGTGCCTCAAACAAAAGCAGACCCTGACACCCAGATAGTGTATAAAGCTGTCAGTCAGATTAGAACTTGGTGATGATTTGAGCAACTTTTGCCATTTGAGGTTGAGACTAACCCCAACCTAACCCTTGAAAGATAACACAATAACAGTTAAAACATTGAGAAATCATTGCTTCCTTTACAGGCTGTGCTCAAAGCTGGGTTTTGCCAGTGTTAGCTCACTTCTAGGGACAATTTTGTCTCGTAAGTGTATCACAGTAAACCCACACATCTCACACGGCTCCAAAGAAGAGCAGGCTCTTGGTATTTTCTCCTGGTCTCAGGTGTGAGCCAGAACTAATTGTGTTATTTTCCTCTGTTAGTTCTGTATCTCTTTACTTTCTTCTTTTAGCATCATACTGTTGCAATTCAGCTGCTCTCTTGAACAAAACTTTCATTGAGTGAGTGTGCGAGTGCGAGAGAGGGTGTGTGTGTGTGTGTGTGTGTGTGTGTGTGTGTGTGAGAGAGAGAGTGTGAGTGTGTGTGTTTGTGAGTGCGTGTGTGTTGTGTGTGCGTGAGTGAGTGTGTGTGTATGAGAGAGAGAGAGCTTGCTCGTTTGCCGCAGAAGTTGCCTCTCTTTCCAAATGAATCCAGTTTATTGTCATTCCAACTGTGCACAAGTGTAGAGTGAACTGTGGTTTCACTGGGTCTGCAGTGCAGGACAACAACACTCTGAGAACTGTAGAGCTGCTATAACAACACTGCAAACAATAAGCACTGCAAACACTGAAAAAATAAACACAATCCAACAGATGCCATGGATTCGTGTCATGTACTCGGTGTACTCGCGCTCTCTTCTGAAAACACTGACATACAGTACTGTACAAGTAAGCTGGAGTTCAGCGATCTCCGTTTGAGGTGTTCTGCTTCAATGAAAGTGTCATTCAGCAGTCTGTGTTCTGTCATGGATCCCGACTGTATTGTTTGCTGATTGTAACGTTACTTACTCTGTGCAGCAATAAAATACTTTTTTTGTCGTTGTTTTAAAGAGAAACATTAATGCAATTTGGAATTACTATTAGGAATTTCTCTGTTAAATCTGTACACTAACGTTAGATGAGGTAAAAAGAACCATGCACACGAGTCGATATTCTATTGATTTGTGCTTATTGGTGTAAGAACAACTTTTGATGAAATATATCAATACATTTCCCAAATGACAACAGTCATTGCAATTAAAATTGAGCAAAATAATAATTTTTATCATTTTAACCATTATACAGTGAGATGAAAATATGACGAAAATGTGTAAGTTTCCACGGACTAAAAATCTACTAAATCTTGACTAAAACTAAAACAGGACAAGTTGACTAAACATGATAAAAACTAAAAGTTACATTTGACACAGGACTAAGACTGAATTAAAAATAGCTAACAAAATGAACACTACTACTTCAGTAAAGACCAGCTCTGACATCCCAACATTATGAGCTGGGATTTGAAGCACTGCGGATGATGAAACTATAGTACACTACAAATCTACTGAATATAAACGCTGTAATACAATGATACAAATATATTGATAAGATTACTGCAAAATATACACAAATATACAATGTCTGAATGCTTCATGGGGGCCAACAGTCTGCGGAGTTATTCTGCCACAATTTCCACTGTCACGCAATTAGTGGATGTCTCTCTTCAGGATTATAGCCGATCTTTACCTGGACCTCAGCTATCCGAATGGCACTTGTCCCTTGAATAGATTTAGTTAGTTTGACTCTGGTCAGCATCTCAGAAAATGAATATTTCTTATTGTCGAAATTGAAATGGTGGAATGATAAGAGGAATACAGAAAACGTTATGCCAAGATCAAATAAGAGCGGTTCAAGTACAGGCCACATGGGACTAGAGAGTAAATACGACAGCAGTGTCTGGGTCATGCTAATATTCCCGCGGCTGCCGCCGTCAACACTCGCACATGCCACATACGACAACGGTCAGAACCAGACGTGTTTATAGAGTGTCGGGATCCTGAGAGGACAAGATCCGTCCATCACTGCCACAAGGCTTTAATCAACGAGTAGCACACAACTCAGATTGTACTCAATTACTGCATTTGTGTCACCACAAAGGAATTGAAGACTTTCATCAAAGGCTGTGCATCATTTGGTAGTATTCGACTGATGTCAGCATGGGCATCCTCAGAAACCGCACAAGAGCCACAAAACACGCTCCATACAGGTTCACTGGCTGGTGCTGGTCACAATCGGTTTGTGCCGTGATTTACTGGCTTGAATTCTGGAAAACTAACTATTCAATAATGCATAATGTCGGGCCTGTTTAGTTCATGGTAAGAGTTCAACTGATGTTCAGCCCTTATGGAGTTTGATCGAGGGCTGCATGATCTGTTAAACAAAGAAAATCTGACTGCTCTAATCCTGCTCTTTAATGGCATGTACTATCCGTTTCAAGTTCATCCAGCTGGGATTGTGGAGTATCAAATGCAAAGCTCGGTTAGTGAGGTCAAATAATGAGTTGAGCCCAGATGTTAGCCTTGAGGTCATCTATATGTTAACACCAGGGCTGGGGAAAGTTACTTTTAAAAGTAATGCATTACAATATTGCGTTACTTCATAAAAAATTCCCTTTTTATGACTTTTGGAAATGCATTATGCAAATGCATTTGTGTTACATCTTGTCACCTGGTCTGGGCTTGCTTATTTGTTTTTTAACTCTTTCCCCGCCACTGACGAGTTATCTCGTCTTTTACAAGAAAACGCTTCCCCGCCAAAGACGAGTTTTTACGGCTTTCCGTGTTTTCACTGTTATACACTCGGGGGCGCTATTACGCATCTCCTGAACAGTACAAAACCTCCCGAACAAAAACACACGTGAACAGGACGGAGAAATGAGCGATCGCTTATATAAACAGATGCATATGAAAAATAATGCGATCATCAGCAATAGACAGCATATAAATGAAAACTGCATAATGTTACAGAGTAAAATGTTGATGCAGGAAGTGGAATATGTCTGTGCAAGCTTTGGAGGTGTTGATGGAAGCGAAATACTGGATTTATGCTTTGATAATCGTACTGAATATTACCCAGATGTAGTTTGTGATAAAAATTTGATTTTCTCACCTTTTTGCTCAAAATTATGCAAACCTACCTATATTCATGTGTTGATAAAAAAAGAATTCTTTAAGCTAGAATAAAACAGTTTTTTTTTTTTGTTTAAAAGTAGAGGCTCTGATCTTTATTTTGGTGTATTGCATATTGAAATATTCACACAGCAAAATATACTGGAGGCCATCAAATTTCAGTGAAAATCATCAAAATCTCTGGTGGTGGCTGGCAACATTTTTCAATAATGCTGGTGAGGAAAGAGTTAATAACTAAAAGTTATATTTTTGGTAACTGTAAAGGCCCTTTCACACCAGAGGTGAGCGTGGGGACAGGAGATGCGTCAGTCAATATATAGGAAAACAAAGTTACTTGCTTTACTTACTTGAAAAAGTAACTCAGATATTTTGTTGTAAATTTAAAAGTAATGCATTACTATACTAGTTACTTTTAAAGAGTAATCTGATTACGTAACTTGAACACTGCGTAACACAGGAACATCCAGCCACTGTGGAGCTACTTCAGGAGGTTTACAGACGGTTAAAGATGTAACTTCTAGGAAAGGCTTTGAGATATCCTCGATTTTAAAGGGGTCATATGATGCGATTTCAAGTTTTCCTTTCTCTTTGGAATGTTACAAGCTGATTGTGCATAGATAAGATCCCTGAAGTTGCAAAGACTAAAGTCTCAAAACCAAAGAGATATTCTTTATCAAAGTTAAGACTCTGCCACGCCCCCCTAAAACGGCTCATTCTAACACGCCCCGACATATCTACCTCACTATGTGGAAATATTAGCATAATCCTGGCCAAATGTTCACGCAAAGAAAGAAGGCGTGGTTTCAGTAACCGCAGTTAGTGTTGAAGCAGCATGTCAGAGAGATGCTGTGTGTTTCAGTGCGAAAGCAAAAGCACTTTATTTGGCCTTCCGGAAGTAGATGCATTTAGGAATCTTTAAGATTACTTACAACAGAACAGCAATGCATTTTATGGACGACCGTTTCGTGAACCTAGGAGAAGAGGTAATTCTGGCTTTGCTACGACAATCTGGCGCTTCTGAATCAGCTACTGTTTGTTATTAATTTAAGTATTTGCTATTGATTGTTCAAATGCGGAGTTTTGCGCATCGTGTGTGTGTGTGTGTGTGTGTGTGTGTGTGTGCGTGAGCGAGCGAGAGAGAGAGAGAAAGTGAGAGAGAGAGTGAGAGAGAGAGAGAGAGAGAGAGAGAGAGAGGGGGTCACATCACAAACACATACCAGCTTCATCACTCTGTCTGTCACGCGACTCTGTCTTTACATTTATTTTGAAAGATGAAGCTCGCGATTATGGTAAGGGGCGTTACATTTCCGAAGAGTGCTTGTGGTGTTCGGCCAATCACAATGCACTGGGTCAGCTGGCCAATCAGAGCAGACTGCGCTTGTCGGAAGGAGGGGCTTTGTAGAAAACGAAGCGTTTGAGAGAGGCGGGGCATAGAGGACCTACAATAATGTACAGTATTTGAAAAATAAAGTGTTTTTTGAACATTAAAGCATGTCAACATATTCTGTTACACCAAATACACAAAATAATGATCTTTAAAAAAGCATCATATGACCCCTTTAAAGTGATTCAGCTCATTTCTTTGTTGAAGCTCTATCATTTTTGTTTCATCTTTATTTCAATGACATTTTGCAGTTTTTTCTTCAGTAGACTTTCTGATGTGCATGCTTTAGTTCCTGATGAAGTCCCCAGTCGACTGGCGAGTAACTCGTAGGGTCAGCGTGTAAATTCACAATGGCTTTGCTGATGGCAAAACATTCAGCAACATCATGACAGTCACAATGATTTTCACTCGCTTGACAAGACATGAAATATTGATTTAAGCTGAAATTCTTTCATTATGCGAGAAGAAAATGTGTTTGAGAGACTATTTGAACATTCAGTCAAATCTACAGTTTAGTGTTTTTATGCAAAGGAACAGCATGGCTCGGCTGAGCAATCACAGTTCCAGAGAGCTGTGTAATATACGGCTGAACACTCACAGTTTGTTGCCCTTCAGAGCGGTGTGCTGCAGCAGGTTGAAGCCGCGGTTGTTCTGCTGCGTGAAATCAATGTTGGGCACCACAGTCAGAATCTCAATGATGCTCCTGAAGTCTTTAGCAATGGCGTCATGTAAGGGTGTATCTCCATACGAGTCCTGACAACACAAGCAAAGAGAAACAAACACGATGTTAGTGAACACTGGTAAATCTAGTTTTTGCCAATTCTAATTTTACAGAAATGGTAAAGGGATGCTGTCCTAAAATGTCAACTCTTTCTTTTCTTGGCTGTGTGCGCTTTACATGGACTCACAGAGATGGAAACTTTTATTCTTTTGTCTCCTATAACTTATGAACCCGTACTGAATGTGTTTCAGTGTAAGCTGGACGCTTGCTGGCTCTGCACTTTTCGTATATTTATAATTTAAAAAAATGAGAATTGAATTTTAGCAGAATTTGTTTGCAAAAGCAATATCTAAGCAGCGATGAAGCAGTAGCCTTTCAAGGTTTTTCGGATTAGGAGAAACATAATGCTGCCCTTAAGAACTGTGCATTTACTGAAAACATATTTAGATGAGTTATGAGTTTAGCATGTACAGGATGATATTGCTTTATTTAATATACTATTAATGGAAATAAAGAAAAACATTATTTTGCAGAATGTCAAATATAGCTGATATCATTTTTAATGAATTTGTTTTTAGCAAAGGGTGTCATTAATTTATAATCTAAAATGAAATATTAAATATAAATTTAGTCATTTGAAAATTTAGCTGAAACAGAACCGACTATGAATTCAGATGGAAATATTCTGCCTATAGGTTATAATTAATACTGAAGATGTCTGAAGTAACTCTTCAAGTAATAAAAGCACCAGCAGCAACACGCCACTAGGGCCATTTGCACTGCCATTCTTCACACTAACATAAAAACAATAGGGTTAGCGCACAAATCTAATTGAACTACTGAGTTCACAAGTCCCCCATTAACAAACATACATTAAAAAAATATCCAACGTAAAATAAAATCACTGCATTATTCAATCACAAACCAACTACATCATTTAAACTCCAAACAGATCACAGTTCTGTAAGCACTCAAATCTCAAAGGCGTGTTTTCTGCCTAACCTGCAGGTTGATGTCTGCTGAGTGCTCCGTCAGCACTCTCACCACATCCGTGAAGCCTTTATTGACAGCGATGTGCAGCGCCGTACACATGGAGTTATTCAGCAGGTTCACACTGGCTCCTTTACTGAGCAGCAAGCGTGCAATTTCTGCCTGATTCCTGCACACACAGCACATACCAGAGACAGCGGAAAAGACATTACAGTGAACATCATTTAGAAGAGCACACTTCATGAGTAAAATACAAATAAATCAAAACCAAGTGTACAATTACTGCCTACAGTGGGTTTAGAAAAGAATCCGCCCCTTATTTAAAATAATCACATTAGCCGCTTTTCCACTGTGGGGCCAGTGCGAGCCAGTGCTTTAAACGGGCCGGCGGGGCTAATAGCCTCGGACCTGTAGCACAGAGGCCAAAATCACGCTGCGTTTCCACCGTCGGGCCAGAAGCTCCGCTGCGCTTCACTAAAACCCGCCCTCTAACACGCCTCTCAGGAACAACGTCACGCAACCCCATCATTTCACCAACAAAGAGAAGTTAGCAGAAAACTAATAAGAAATAAGTCACTGGAACTAGCGTGATCACAAAACGAACATGATAAAAGCGGCCGTTCGTTTGCATGCTTTGTTAAAGATTTAAATCCAAAAGCATCGGTGTTTTACAATAATAAGTGATACATTGATCATAATGAATTAATTTATCAGGATTGAAAACTAGTCACACAGAAATAAAGCGGTATGAACATAGCCTACCTGCTTATTCAGTCGAGTCTGTTTCGGTTTATTTGTAGCCACAGTATATAGCCTACATCCCATTTAGAAAGAATGATCATCTCTATATTTTTATAAAAAGCTCCAGAACAAAAAACATTATTCTATTCTTATGACATAGGCTACGTGGAGCTAAACTCTCGAGAGGAGACTTGTGACAGATAAAATATGCTACTAAATCAATACACGATTGTGATGAAGAAATCAGATGTAAGCTTCTTATTCGCTAAGCGGTCGTATTTACCATGTTTACTATGGTAACGTTAATGGCTAGCGTGCAGTCTTTTGCATCACTTATAAATAGGCTATGTCTGCATTGTATGGTGATCATAATCCACATCAGATCAAGTTATTTCAAACACTCGCTGCTGTCTGAAAGTGAGTTTTGAACTAAAATTATTTTAAAAGTCTTTAATGCTGGTGTTATCTGTTAACTTTCTGAAATGATCCGCAGCGCTGACGCTCTGCAGACGCGAGAAACTCCGCCTTTGTTCATAACCACTCCTCTAGCCCCAGTTGGCCCGCTTTGGCCCAAGGTTTTCGTCGGGCTAAAAAACCCGGGCCGTTGGCCCCAAGGAAGCACGATCAAGCCCCGGAAGTGACAGTGGAAACGCGACTGGCACTAGCACGCCCGCTTTTGGCCCGACAGTGGAAACGCAGCTATTGTGTTGCTTTGCAGCCTGAAATGCAGACGGACACAGTTTTTGTTTTATCCAGCTGAATGTACTCAGTGCTACTTATAACATCCAAGTCAAGGATATAACGCCAACATGTCAGAAACAAATAAAAACAAAAAAACAGAATCACTGAGTTGGAAAAAGGATGATCCTCCTCCTAAAAATGGCTTGTAAACTCAATCCGGTGTAGCAAATCACCTTCTCAATGGCACACAAAGCCATTTTTCTTTCACCTGTGATCAGCTGTGCTCATTTTGATCAGCTCAGCATGAAAAGAGCTTCCCTGCAGCATTTCAGTCCTTGGTAGTGCAACTGAAGCAAACAATCAACTATGGGCTGCAAGGCACCGTCAAAAGATGAGACAAAAACATTTCAAGGGCTTTATCAATGCACTAGCACAGTGAAGTCTATTATTAAGAAGTGGAAGGTATTTGGTACAACACAGAGCCTCTCTGGATCAGGACGTCACTCCAAACTGAATGAGAGAGTCAGGAGGAAACTGATCAGAGAGGAGACCAAGGGCTACAGCAACTCTGAAGCAGCTGTAGGAGTTTATGACAAAGAGTGGTCATTGTGTGCATGTGACAACAATATCACTAATCCTCCACAAATGTGGCTTGTGAGGGAGGGACGCAAGAAAAAAGCCACTCCTCAAGAAATGCCACACGCAGTCAGACTGAGCTTTGCCAAAACACACCTTGAAGAATCTGAGGCAGATGAGACTAAAACTGAATTATTTGGCCTCAACACTAAACGCTATGTCTGGTGGAAATCCACTCCAGCTCAGCATCCAGATAACAGCATTCCTCTAGTAAAGCATGGAACTGGTGATGTCCTGTTATAGCGTGTTTCTCTGCAGCAGCGACTGGAGCACTCGTCAGGATAGAAGGAACAATGGATGGAGCATACAGTCAGATTCTTGAGGAAAATCTGCTGCCCTCTGCCAGAAAGTTATCAATGGGAGGAAGGTTTACCTCCCAACTTGACAATGACCCAAAGCACACAGCAGAACTGCAATGAACTGAAGACTGCAGACCACAAACACTCACCTTCAGTTTGAACTGAACTTCAGCAGTTCTGCAAAGAAGAGCGGGCAAATATTGCAAAGTCTAGATGTGCAAAGTTAGTAGAGACAAATCCCAACAGACTAAAGGCTGTAATTAAAGCAAAAGATGGTTTAACAAAATACTGACATAAGGGGGTGATCCTTTTTCCAACTCTGTGATTATGTTTTTTATTTTTGTATTTTCTTCTTACATGTTGGTGTTTTATCTTTCACTTGGACATTTTAAGTTGCACTGAGTAAATACAGCTGGATAGAACAAAAAATGTGTCCGTCTTCATTTTAAGCTGCAAAGCAACACAATGTGATTATTTTAAATGGGGTGATTCTTTTCTAAACCCACTGTACAATACTGAATTTACTACTGTAAAAGAATGACATGCTATAGCCATCACAGTAGTGAACAGAAAAACTGGACTTGACAACATTAGTGTATCGTATAGTGCTGTGGCTCATACTCTTAAAACTAAACAAAAATGAGCAGCTAGTCAGCGACCAATAATTGTGCAAAACTCAGTGTGGTTTAACTGATCCTCATCGCTCATATTTTCTTTCGGCTTGTGTAGTTTTGTTCGAGGTTTTTGAGGATTAAACGTCACACTTTTATAATTCACACTTCAGAGCATCAAATCAGTTAAATGATCCAAATATTCATCTAACTCGTGTGGGGAGCTAGTAATTCAGTTACATCAGTTAGATCTGCCAAAATCACATCAATGCCCCAAATCATCTCTGCTTGGAAATAACGTGGATTGCAGCTGCTCCAGCCAGATGATCTGGATCACTCTGTCAACCTCTAGAGCCCAGAGACATCAATCCACCAGCAATACAGATGCCTTTACGTGTACTTTAGAAGGATTAAAATGTCACGATTTAGTCTGACTTGCATTCAAGCAGTCGTGTTTGTGCTGAGGTGCACTAACAGAGCTAGATAATGCCATTGTGGCTTGGTTTTGGCTCTAGATGTATAAGCATGAATCAGACTACAGTTAGCCCTGGCATGGTGTGTTTTCTGAGAAACAGAGGTGACGCTTGTATTTAATCCTTTAAGTAATCAATTACAGTGAAGACTGCAGCTCAACTACGCAAAAGCCAACTGTAGCGCATTTAATACTGCACATGTAAACATACTCAGTGTCTCTGGAGTGTGCCTTCATCTTAATGAGTTAAATACAGTTAACTGAGGACGAGCACAGCACAACGTTTCTGTTTGCACAGAATGTGCAGGTTGTCCTGCATCTAATACTGGGTAACGTACACATGACCTGTTCTCATAAGTGTAAGCTCTAAGCACTGGCTCTCACCCGAACGCTGTGTAGTGTAGCGCAGCGTCTCCGTCCTCATCTTTAGCTTCAATGCTGCTGTTGGCCTGAAGCAGAACCTTCACCACCTCCACATGTCCCTGATGGGCAGCCACCTGCAGAGCCGTCTTCCCCTGGTTCTTAACATCCACCTGAACACAGTCACACACAGCCTTCGCTCAAACACACTTCTCCCCATCCACCTACTTAAAGCAAAAATGAAAACATGCTGAGAATGTGCTCACCCTCAGTTCATCCAAGATCAGAAAGAGTTTGTTTCTTCATCCGTTTTGTAGAAATGTAGCATTGCATCAGTGTCTCAGCAATTGATGCTCTGCAGTGAATGGGTGCCGTCAAAATGAGAGTTCAAACAGCTGATAAAAACATCACAATAATCCACAGCACTCCAGTCCATCAGTTAACATCTGGAGAAGACAAAAGCTGAAACTAATCCAGCATTAAGATGTTTGTAACTAAAATATGAGTCCATAATAACGCTTCCTCCAGTGAAAAAGTACGTCTCCTGTTGTCTCTCACATTAAAATCCAGCCACATATTTGTTTAGAGCCGTTTAAACGCTGCTTGATCTGTGCAGATTTCTCTCCTGATTCACACCAGAACACAATGTATTTTAGTTAAAAACGTCTTAATGCTGGATTAGTTTCAGCTTTTGTCTTCTCCAGATGTTCACTGATGGACTGGAGTGCTGTGGATTATTGTGATGTTTTTATCAGCTGTTTGGACTCTCATTCTGACGGCACCCATTCACTGCAGAGCATCCATTGCTGAGACACTGATGCAATGCTGCATTTCTACAGATCTGATGAAGAAACAAACTCATCTATATCTCGGATGAACTGAGGGTGAGCACATTTTAATAAAGCAAACTTAAATTTTTGGGTGAATGATTCCTTAACCTCTACCACACTATCTACTTGCTCAACTCTGTCAGAAATAGATCGCACACGAGATGACCGTTCTTTATTAACTTAATCAACGCTTTCAGTCCAGCTGTCCGTAGTCTCTAATCAAGTATCTTACAGAAAGGACACTTTTTCCTTGAAAACAGATGAGCAGCTGCGCAGCAGTCTCTAGTGGGCTGTGAGTTTATAAAGGGAAAGGCTAAAACCCTTCAGACAGAGAGAGCCAGAAATAACTTGAAACGTCTGGAGATTCCCTCCCTTAGGACAACCCATGCAAACAAAATCCCATTTCTTTCCACTAAATCGGACTGAGGCACTAACCTTCTCAGGGTATTTCTGCACTAGTTCACGCACTTTAACGGCGTTCCCATGAGCCGCCTCGATAACCAGCCGGCCCGGATGATCCTGCTCCGTGGACTGAGAGAGCAGCTTCTCCAGGACTGAAATGACCGTACCTGAACGACAGAGAGAAAGAGAGATCTCCATTCTGTGTTCAGAGAAGGGTTTAGTGTTACTGTCCCAGAGTTCAAACCCCTCTAAACCAGAATGAGTCAAAATGTCACCATGCATCAAGACACAAACATCACTATCCAGCGCTGCCACAGTGTGTGACGGAGGGAAACAGAGAGAGAGAGAAATACACTGAAAACACAAACGGTGCTGAAACGAGAAAAAAAACGGCATCATGCAGGACAGTGTGGAAGAGAACAGAACTCTTTATCTTAAAGAGAAGTCGAATGAAAATTAATGATATAGAGTAATTTTTATCATGATGTAATTATGCTCAGCAGCCATTCAGGGACTTCCTGTGCATTCTTACTTCCTGATTCACTGGAGTTCTCAGCCGTCATCAGATTGGCGTCGACCTCGCCACGCTGCGCAGAGAGACACGCGGGGTTAAAGGTCCACGTCTGACCTCCAAATGCCACACGCAGGTCACCATCTGCATACACCTTCAGAACCTTCCCGACCTGACCCAGAGCCTGAGAGAACACACACACACACACACACACACACAGACACAGACACACACACACATAGACACAGAGAGAGACACACACACACACACACACACACACATAGACATAGAGAGAGACACACACACAGACACAGAGAGACACACACACACACGCACACAGAGAGAGACAGAGACAGAGACACAGACAGACAGACACACACATAGACACACACACACAAACAGAGACAGACAGACAGACAGACACACACACACACACATAGACACAGAGAGAGACACACACACACACACATAGACACAGAGAGAGAGACACACACACACAGACAGAGACAGACAGACAGACACACACACACACACACACACACACACACACACATAGACACACACACACACACAGAGACAGACAGACAGACAGACACACACACACACACATAGACACAGAGAGAGACACACACACACACACATAGACACAGAGAGAGAGACACACACACACAGACAGAGACAGACAGACAGACACACACACACACACACACACACATAGACACAGAGAGAGACACACACACACACACACACACACACAGAGAGACAGACAGACACACACTCTCGTCATCTGAACGCTAGAGGGTCAATCAGTTAATCAGTGCTGTAATTCTGGCATCATGGCAGCACTGATTTGACAAATTTCAACAAATAAATTTTTTTTGAATTTCATATACATGAAATACTGAATTTATTATAAATTATAATTTAATATAAAAGTTAATTTATAAAACTGCTAATTTAAAATACTTTAAAATTAAAATAATTAAATATACATCACTAAAATGAAACCAATTCATATATGATTGTTTAAATTTTTTAAGCAAACATAAATAGTTTAAATCTGTGTAGTTACTGACTGGCTGTTCATAAAAGAATCAATGAAATATGGCACAACATTTTTTTTTGTTCATTTTTAGTATGTGTTTATTTGTTTTTAATTTATTGCTGTAATTCTCTCATGATTTGGCAATGGAACTACATTTCTATTTTTAACATTTGCATTTTCTTTTCTCAAAACTGCTGCTCTTCCTGTTTCTCGTTTAAAACTCCAATAAATGTATTTATTTATTAACACCATGTCAGCAGCAAGGCTATCTTCATGACGAAAACAAACATAAATAAATAACAATAGTTATTTACAATTAAAAAGAAGCTACTTTAAGGTTAATACTAGACAAAAAAAAAAACTAAAATGCATTGAGGTAATTATTATTTTTTTTTTTTAAACATCTGTTTAAAACCAGTCACAAAAACTTTGGGGAAGTTAGTTTATTCACAATTAAATGTGATCTTCAGTCCAAGTCGTGTGTGTTGTGGAGGAACCTACTGGAGCCATGCTGTCTGTCCACTCTCCATGGCCCACCTGGAGTCTCTTCACACTGTCAGTGTCATCCAGCACCTTCACCAGCTCACCCACGGCAAACGTGTTCACCTGCACACACACCACTCTATTACAGGAACACACGCTTCCTAAAGACCAATCATGCAAAGTTGTCTGAGGCTGCAGCTAATCGGCAGCCCAGACCTCACAATCTGCCACTTAAGCAGACAGAA